GGTGTGCAGTGAGCTGGAGCCGAGCAAGAGGGGTCAATTAATAGGACTTCTAAACAGATATGAAGGTGTGTTCTATAAGGGAGGAGAGCTGCCTATTGTTAGAGTGGGTGTGGAGCACACCATAAGGCTGAAAGAGGACAGCTCACCAGTAGTGAGCAAGCCGAGGAGGTTGTCAAAAGAGTTAGCCGATGAAGTCCGGGAACACGTCGATGAGCTACTCAAACAAGGAGTAGTCAGGGAATCTAACAGCCAATGGGCATCACCCATAGTGTGTGCACGCAAGAAAGACGGGAGCCTGAGGATGGCGATTGATTATCGGATAACCAATGAGAAGTCAAATACAGCGACTTTACATCCAATACCGCTCATTGACGATCTTTTGGACAGGCTGGGGAAGGCTAAGTACTTTGCAGTCCTTGATGCAAAGTCGGGATACCACCAGTTACCACTACGAAAGGAAGATTCGGAGACAACGGCATTTGTAGTACCATGGGGGCATTATGAGTTTGCAGGAAGAACCCCGTTTGGTTTGAAAGGTGCGGGATATTCATTCCAAAGGATGATGTCAGTGATCTTGGGGAGTTCAAACTTCGTCGATGCACTGTGCTATTTGGACGACATCCTAGTCTGGGGGGAAACTTGGGAGGTATTCATGAAACGGCTCAAGAAGGTGCTGGAAAAGGTGAAGGATGCAGGCCTGGCCTTGGCATCGAAGAAGTGCCAGTTTGGAGTCAGGGAAGTCAGTTACTTGGGATGCACCATCAAAGAAGGCATGGTGAAGATAAACGAACAGAGAGTGCAGCAACTGAGGAGCATAGAGCGCCCTCATAATGTACGAGAGCTTAGAAGGGCTTTAGGTGCGTTTGGCTACGTGCAAAGGTGGCTACCAGGATTGTCACAGATTGCCAGGCCATTGTATAATGCGATCACGGACCAGCCGTATGCCCGGCTGAAGTGGACGGAGGAAATGAATGAATCATTTTCAACAATAAAGAAATTGATTGCGGACGCAGTGTCGTTGAGTTTGCCCGACATGGATAAGCCATTCACCTTAGTAACAGACTGTAGTCAAATGGCAGCGGGAGCCATGCTGGCACAGAGGTGCATGGAAGCACCGGATACCCTGAAGCCTGTGGCATTCTACCACCACGCGTTATCCAAAGCAGAACAGGGATACTCAGCTACCGAGAAGGAGTTGTTGGCGATGGTAAAGGCGGTAGTGAAGTTCAGAGTGTATCTAGGCAAGCAGTTCAACCTGATTACGGACCACCAAGCACTGAGTTGGCTTCGTTCACTTGAACCGGAGAATGAGACGGGGAGAAGGGGACGTTGGTTAGACCTGATTCAGCAGTTTGACATGAAAGTCACTCATAAGAAAGGGAAAAGCCCAGAGATGAGAATAGCTGATTACCTTTCACGGGTCAAATGTGACGGAAATGTAACTGTGAAAGACCGTAGCGAAGTGTTTGTCGTGATGACCGCTGGAGGCGAGGAGGCGATAACTGTCAGTCGAGAACAGATCCTGAGCGAGCAGAGCAATGACGCAGCAGTACAAACGATGCGTAAGGCGGTTTTGAAAGGAACAGATCTGAACCCCGGGAATAGTGAATCAGAATCGTGGAGGAAGCCCAGCGGGAGCAACGATGAGGAAGTCAAAGCGATGTGGAAGCATAGGGACAGGATTTTCATCGACTCAGAGGGGATATTAAGATTACGGTTCAACGGGGGAAAGAAGCGGGAAAGCAACCCTTTCGGAACAGTGGAAAAGAACAGGGTAATAGTTCCTAAGACATACAGGGGCAAAATTATGAATCTTGTTCATAGGAGTGCTACAGCGGCTCATATGGGGAACACACGCACCTGGAAGAGGGCACGAGATAACTTTTGGTGGCCGAATATGAGGCAAGACATAGAACAATACGTTCAGGCATGTGAAGAGTGTGGTCTGAACAAACACGTCAACAACCCGAACAAGGCGCCAGTGTCCAAGACGAGTATACCCGGAAAACCTCTGGAGGAGATGATGCTTGATTTTCTTGGTCCATTCCAGACAGCGAGGGAGCATCCATACAGGTACGTCCTCCAAATGCAAGATGTGTTTAGTCGATTCATAATCTTTGTACCGAGCATTGATGCAAGAGCAAAAACGGCAGCAGATGCAGTAGTCGAAAGATGGATAAGTCTTTTCGGGATCCCGGAAAAGATGAGATCGGATAGAGGTCCACATTTTATTGCAGAGGTGTTCGAGGAACTGTGTAAAAGAGTGGGTATCAGACACAAGTTGGGTTCACCGGGACACCCCCAGAGCCAGGGGCAAGTAGAGAGGCAGAACCAGTTAATGAACCAGATCAGGTGCCTTTGCGAGAACGATGGGGAGAAGTGGCCGGAGGCCTTATACCTGGTACAAGGGAGCCACAACAACTCGATCAACGCTACAACAGGTTTTACTCCAGCTAGGCTGTTGTTTGGCAGGGATTTTAACCGACCAGACGACATGATTGCTCAGGAGAGGGATAAGGTGAAGAAGCCTGGAACAACTGTATTGGAGGAGAGGGACGAAGAATGCAGACTGTTGACTGAGCAAGCACGAACAAACCTGGTCGAATATCAAGAGGAGAGAGTGGAATCAGCAGAGAAAGAAGGACCCTGCCAAACCCCGTACGAAGTAGGCGACTTGGTGCGTTATAGGCTCACGGACGAAGCAAGGAGCAATAAAGGCGGGAAGACATCCCCCCGCTACTCGGAGCCGTACAGGGTAACAGCGATCAAGGGTGACGGATATACTTACACGATGGAGCCAGTGGATAAGGACAGTAGAGGCACGCGTAAAGATAGACGGTTTAACTACTTGAAAACGCACAAGAGAGTAGTGAGCAGTGAGGTGGCTCCGGAGCCGGACAGCCCTACGATGACACAACCCCAGCGAGATGAACTACACCCTCAAGTGAACGACGGTGTTCCGGAGGTCATGGAACAGTCCCCGGTAGCTCCACCTGATGCGGCGCTAACCGTTCGGAGATCCGGGAGGACTAGGAATCCAGTGAGGTTATTGCAGGCGGACGGGAAGAAGAAGCGGTACGAAGATGCAGAGGCCAGCGGACAACCAGACGCAGATGAGGATTGATGGAATTTGGGATATTTCAGAGGGGAATAGGACATTTGGGACATGATAGAAATGATACAAATATGTTATACTATTTATCATGACTATTGGATTAATATGATACATAACGATATTATATTATACATGACAGTAAATTCATGACCGTCATTTTGTTATAACGCGAGGAACGGACATTATTATTATCATGAGGGACATTATTTACATGATTAATAATATATTATTGACAATGAGATCCTTGTTATAACGTGATGAACAGACATTATTATTATCATGAGGGACGTTATTTACATGATTAATAATATTTTATTGACGATAAGAATCTTGTTATAACGTGATGAACGGACACTATTATTATCATGAGGGACATTATTTACATGAATAATAATATTTTATCACGTTGAACTTTTACCCCAATGTCAATATCCAGCTTATTGATTGGGAAGGATGTAAAGGATACTCAGATAGATAACGATTCAAATAAGTATCATTTGGAAAGACGTCTAGTAACATACATTGGAAGATAACGTGGAATCTGAGATATGAGGAGTGTTATGATTGTTACTAACGATGTTACTTATCTTAGCATGGAGCTTTAGCTCACTCTTATTACAAAGGTAAGAGCAAGTCATTTCAATGTAACGTTTTAACCGGGTAAAAGCCAGTCCGAACCCTGGCTTCATAACATGAAGGCCCCGTAATAATTTGTACGGAAAAGCTCTATATCCAACTGTAACATGACATAATGACAAGCACCTCCATGCTGCTCCAGTTAAAAGTAAGAAAAAACGTACTACAGTCTACAAGGTAGACGTTGTGAAGATGGAGATATCATCCGAGATATTATCTCACACAATGCTATCCCAGTAATGACACTGTCACCTTAATTTTAAACAATAATCTCAGAATGTGTGTCTGTCTGTCTGTGTGTCTGTCTGTGCGCGTGTAATTTCGGTATAGTGCTGAGAAAACTCTGACGAAGCCAAATGATAAAGGTTTTTTAAATCGGTCGGTGGTAAGTGGTTTAATTGATGGTTTTGTACCACAAATGTGACATAAAATGGACCACTTTTTCTCCCTCCTCGGTCTCGGCATAGGCAGCGTTGGTACATAAATCATAATTAGTTTAGCCTCGATATTCACTGTCATGTAATACTATAAGCCTATTAGGGGAGGGAGCACTCATTGCGGTCTGTTTGGACTGTAGAGAGAGTTCATACTTTCATACGACAATGTTATGCGTGTTTTCAAATATAATAGGCGGGTTTATACTTTTGCATTTCAACTGCGATAGTGAAAGTGAAGTCCCATCCGTAGGCACGGGTTACACTAGTACTTTTATAATGACTGAGCCTCTAGGGCCTCTACTTCTGTAGAAGATATCATTTTCTTCCAGACATTACACAATAATGAGAGCCATGATAATTATCTGGGGGTGGTCACGTGATAAGAAAATGCACGTGTTATATTGTTGTGGTCACGTGATATGAAAATGCACGTGTTACATTTGTGGTCACGTGATGAGTTTGTGCACGTGTCTTACAGCTGTGAACTCGATCAGACAAGGTATCGGGCCTGTGTTAATCTAGATAATACCTTGACATTGTCTTCATTGTGGAGCGAGGTGAACCACAAAGATAATTATAATGTACATTGCGTTCTAGCAGCAGCTCAGGGCTAGTATTTAGTAAAGATACCCCCTATTTTATTGTGGATTCAACATCCTTGTTTCTATAAATTAGCGACATACTTTATGCATACAAGCTTGCAAACTTAAATTTTTCAAACTTAAGATCTTACAAACTTACATTTTACAAACTTATAAGCTTGCAACTAAGAAACTTAAACGATTCAACAAACACACAAACGAAACACTCACCACAGGCCCAAAGGTCGACTCTTTTCCCGTAAGGATTCTTCTTAATAACCTCTGGAGCCAGATATCCTGGAGTCCCAGCAAACCCTGGAATTTAACAATCAATTAATTAAACAATTAATTAAACAATTAATTAAATTAATCAAATGTTAATTGCGAATAAAACTTCATTCATTATGTCAAAGTCATAGTTTTTCTTGATTGCATATGTATTTCATGATTACTTGATACGGCGAGGACTGTTCTATACAGGTGAAACAGCTACAATTCACTGTACCAAAGGTGAGTCCTGTTCTTAACCACTTTCAACAATTTCAACAATTTCAACAATTTCAACATTTTCAACATTACCATGTAAGAAATTATTGAACGTTTTTTACTGATGATGAAATAGAAATTGTTTGATCTACACGTCAATACTGTGTTTATTAGTGCGCTTTTATGTGCAAAAATTCAGTTTTCCCTAGTTAACAACATATTCATGTCCTGAAATCTGAATATCTCTAAATTTGGGCACCAAAAAGTGCATTACAGCTCTTGAAAGCTTGGTATGAGTAACCAGATTACCATCAAATTAAATCCTATCCTCCCGCGGTTTGGGAATCCTGCGGGGAGACCGGCTATTTCTTTGTGACGAATTCCTGAGATGGGAATATTCCTCACATGACACCTCCTATAGTCCTATAATATGACGAAGTTGAATCTTTCAGGAAATCTAAGTTTGATCCATATCTATAATCTCTGAAATTTCTGTGCAATTCTAAGAAGAATTATGTGAGTTATTAAAGGGTTGTGTGGGCATCTACTTCTGGGCCACCCTGTATTATATGTATTCCCATATTTTTCAATACAAGTGATATTAGCATCATTATATAAATTAAACTGGTAAACTCAATAAATTTTACTTAGTTCCCTGATTTTATCTCAGTCCTCTCATTCTTCAAATATTAAAATTAGAAAAAAACGCAGTTTATCACGATGGGGCGGGGTTATAATCTGAGCCAGAGTCACATTAACGATATAACGATACAACTATACGCATTATTAAGCAAGATATAAGCATTATTACGCAATGATAATCTTGTTTTGCTCTTATGAGTGGGTCAATCATTTATTTTTAATTGTAGTTGACGAAATGAGAGTCTCCACTCAGTGTGTTAAAACATAATTCTTTGTCGACGTTTCGGCTACATGCCTTTGTCATAAACAGGACGTACTGAAAACTTACATAGCTGCAAAGATACAATGTTAAAATAATCTATTAAATTAATCTATTAATACTACGAAATATAACAACAACAAATAACATCTTGAAACACAACAACAATCACAAATTTATCCAAAAGAAACATAAAATATAACGGCTAAAAGAATCCAAACCGCAACAAGCCGTGAACAATTCTTCATAATACTACAAACATTTTACCAAGATAGCTCCTTCATAAAACTGATTAATCAAAAATTATCTATGTTTATAAGTTCAATATTACATTAACTTCCAAGTATATTTTATCCAATCACCTTCATTTACGGACTCAGACAATTGAGTATTTATTTCTGGGTTTTCACGTTTTATTAGAACCGACTGCCACAATTGACGGTCCACATAGTCTTTACATCTTTTTCGAACTATAAACCGAAACGGTATGTTTGGCATTGAAATGTCTGCATGCTCCTCTAGGTAGTGCTTCCCCATGGCCGTAGATTTGTTGCCATCCCTTACTGATTTGTAGTGTTCCCAGGCTCTACTTCTTTTAAACCTACCAGTTTCCCCAATGTAGGACTTATTACATATTTGGCATATTAATTGGTAGCAAATGTTTTTGATCATGCAGGATTTATCGCACTGGTAGCATTTGCTGTCACTTTGTTTATTGCATTTTGTTTGCTGTAGGCTAGATCTTGTTAAAGCTTCCATGAGACGTTGACCTGATGTGAATGTTACCCTGGTGGAATCCAAGAGGTTTTGATTTCTTAGGGTATAGTAGACTTTTCGACACGTCTGTTCATTTATATAAGGTAATGATAAGTAAGCTATTTTTGAGTTCTTTTTAGGCGCATTTTGTTTATCCAGTGTATTCTGTGTTTCTCGAATAAGTTTCTTGACAATATTAGGAGGGAAACTATTCTTCTTTAGCATATCAGCTATTCTGTTGATACTGAGATCTTGTAGTTCAGGTGTGGAGCTGTTATTGATAGCCCTTCTGATCTCATTTTTGGCTGAGTTCAGAATCGTTCTACGAGGGTGAGCAGAGGCATAATTTAGGAATATGTCCTGGCTGGTTGGTTTAACAAATAAGGAAAAATCTAACCTCTTGTCCACCGTATTCATATAGATGTTCAGGTCCAAAAATGCAACACAATCTTTGGAGCACTCATATGTGAACTGTATATCCCTGTTCAACGAGTTAATGTAGTTAAACAGCAATAGTACTGTGTCTTCATCTCCCTCGATTATGCTGAAGCAGTCATCTACATATCTATCCCACATATCTATGATTGGGAGTCCTACTGGTTTGGGGGGAGCTTCTGGTATGTAGGAATAGTCGTTCTCCATCAGAGGCAATTCGATTGTACAGTAAACATAGATTATTGCAAATGGTGGAGCTGGTTTCACACCCATGCCGAGTCCATTTAGTTGTTGGTAGAACTTTGAATCAAATCTGAAGTATCCTGCCTGTATGACTGATTTGAGGACCAAGTCAAAGTCCCCGAGGTCCATTCCATTTGTATCGATTTTATCCCTGTTGTTTTTTATGAACTTTATGATAACTTTGTGTCCTTCTACAAGTGGGACATTTGTGTAGAGGCTTTTCACATCAGCCGTGAACATTATGTGGTTTGTGTTTATTCTTCCCATCCAATGATCTTCTAATTTTTGCCGAAATTGAGGAGTGTTCTTAGTGTTAACGGGAACCAAGTCTAGTGCTTGGTTAAGTATATTGGTAACAAAATGACCTAGTCTTTCCGCTGGTGAATCTACTTGGGATGTGACAGGTCGCAAGGGTGCGGTGAAATATTTTAATATTAATTAACAATTAATTAAACAATTAATTAAAGTAAAATGGTTAATTGCGATAAATTCCATGTATTTTGTCAAGTATATTTATCTATTCATATTATTTGTGATTACTTGAAGGGATTGGGCGTTTTTTACAGGTAAACAGTACAATTCACTTCAAAGGTGTATGAAGTTTTATCACTTTAACAATTTCAACTTTTCACAATTTCACATTTTAACATTACCATGTAGAAATTACTTTGAACTATTTTTCTTGATGATACGAAATGTTTGTCTAGACGTAATACTGTTTTTTTAGTCGGCCTTTATGTCAAAAATCGTTTTCCTATCCATGAACTGTTCTTGACTGGATATCTTAAATTTGGGCACCAAAATTTGATATCGTTCTTGAAAAGCGGTAGGTAACCAGATTACCATCAAATAAATCCTATCCTCCCGGTTTGGGAATCGCGGAGACGCTATTTCTTGTGACGAATTCTGAAGAAGTTCCTCACCATTGACATAATCTAGTTCCTTATATGACGAATGTTGAAATTGAAGACTAGTATCATATCTCAAACATGGCTCCCAATTTCTGTGGAATCTAAGAATGTAATGTGTTTAAAGGTTGGGGGATCTACTTCATGACACCTGTTTATAATTATTCCCATATTTTTCAATACAGTTTAGCATCATTATATAAATTAAATGGTAATAATAATTTTACTAGTTCCCTGATTTTATCTCAGTCCATCTCGTTTAAATTTTTAAAATGTAAAAACCACCGTTATACGATGGGGGGGTTTAATTGAGCCAGGTCACCTTAACGATATAACATCAAAATAGACATTATTAAACAGCAGATAAAGCATTATTACAAGATAATTGTTTTGCTTAGAGGGTCAGTTTATTTTAATTGTAGTTGACAAATGAGAGTTCCAACTCAGAGTGATAAACAAAATCCCTTTAGACTTCGAAAAACCTTTGTCATTAAACTAGGATAGAAAACTTACAAGCGAAAAGATACCGTTAAAAAATTATAACTTAATCTATTAATCCACGAATATACAATCAATCAGTCTAACACAACATAATCACAAATTTATCCAAAAAAAATAAATATAAGGCTAAAAGAACCAAAGCAACAGGCCGTAAACAATGCTTCAAAAACTTCAAACCATTTAATACCAAGATGTTTAATAAACCTGATTAATCAAAATGTATTATGTTTAAAAGTTCAATATTAGAAACTTCAAATAGTTGTCAACAACTTCTTGGCCAGGACAATTGATATTTATTTTGGGTTTCACGTTTTAATGTAAAATACCGTACTGCTAAATTGACGGTCCAAAGTTTTAAATTGTGCGAACTATAAACCGAACGGTATGTTTGAATTGAAATGAACCATGAATAAATCTATTGTCGGTTCCCGATGGAGGGATTGTTACCATCCCTTGATTTGTAGTTGGCTTATTAACTTTTAAACTTTTCATTTCCCAATAGGATTATTACATATTTGGAAATAATTGTGTATTGAAATTGTTCGTTGTTTGCGTTGGATTTTATCGTACTGGTTAGATTTGCTTTTACTATTGTTTATTGCTTTTGTTTAGTGTAGGTTGATTTGTTAAAGTTTCCTAGTATTAATGATGTGAATGTTACCCTGGTGGATCAATTTGAGAGAGTTTTGATTTCTTAGGGTATTATAAATTTTGACAAAGTCTACAGTAATTAAGGTAATGATAAGTAAGATTTTGAGTTCTTTTTAGGCGCATTTTGTAATACCATATTATCGTTCTCGAATAAATTTCTTACAATATTAGGAGGGAAACATTCTTCTTAGCATATCATTTTTGTTATACTGAGATCTGTATCAGGATAGCTGTTATGATAGCCCTCTGCAATTTTTGAAGTTCAAAATCGTTTACGAGGGTTGAGGTAAACTTAGGAATATTCCTGAATGTGGTTAACAAATAAGGAAAAACCTAGCCTGATGTCAACATTAACCTTAGATGTTCAAGGCAAAATGACAACACAATCTTTGAGAAGCAATCATATGTAATGTTATCTTTTAAATTTAAATAGT